GAAGATTTTTTGCTTCAAACTTCCCATTCGGTTCATTATCTGGAAGGAGTATGATCCCCTTTTGATTTTATCTCTCATCGGGTGCCGACTTCTTGATTATTTCATTCTAGTTTATTTCTGGTTTGAGTCTGTAGTCCCCAACAACATTATTATTCTGGTTTCTGTAGGCTTCGAGCCTTGATTTGAGAATGTGCATTTATTTTGCATGCAAAGACATTTTTCCCCAACAGGAAAGCATTGGTATTTCCCTAGGAAATCAAGCTTCTTTTCTTGCCAGTCTTATTACAATTCCTTCTTAAAACAGCAAGTGGCAGTCTCTTTATTTGAGATAGCTTGTGTTTTTACCCTTTCCAGGTGAAACATCTTGGTTAAAGAAGAAACTGAGACCAGTTTGTGGCTTATAGTCAGGATCAAGGGGAAGTTTATCCAATTCTCCATCAAATGGCATCTCTTCGAGGAAGTTTCCCAAGAGAAGTTTGTTGTGAAATCTTACAAGTTGCAGTCTCTTTATTTGAGATAGCTTGTGTTTTTACCCTTTCCAGGTGAAACATCTTGGTTAAAGAAGAAACTGAGACAAGTTCGTGGCTTATAGTCAGGATCGAGGGGAAGTTTATCCAATTCTCCAACAAATGGCATCTCTTCGAGGAAGTTTCGCAAGAGAAGTTTGTTTTGAAATCTTACAAGTGACAGTCTCTTTATTTGAGATAGCTTGTGTTTTTACCCTTTCCAGGTGAAACATCTTGGTTAAAGAAGAAACTAAGACCAATTTGTGGCTTATAGTCAGGATCGAGGGGAAGTTTATCCGATTCTCCGTCAAATGGCATCACTTCGAGGAAGTTTCGCAAGAGAAGTTTGTTGTGAAATCTTACAAGTGGCAGTCTCTTTATTTGAGATAGCTTGTGTTTTTACACTTTCCAGGTGAAACATCTTGGTTAAAGAAGAAAATGAGACCAGTTTGTGGCTTATAGTCAGGATTGAGGGGAAGCTTATCTGATTCTCCATCAAATGGCATCTCTTCGAGGAAGTTTCGCAAGAGAAGTTTGTTGTGACATCTTACAAGTGGCAGTCTCTTTATTTGAGATAGCTTGTGTTTTTACCCTTTCCAGGTGAAACATCTTGGTTAAAGAAGAAACTAAGACCAGTTCGTGGCTTATAGTCAGGATCGAGGGGAAGTTTATCTGATTCTCCATCAAATGGCATCTCTTTGAGGTATTTCGCAAAAGAAGATTGTTGTGAAATCTTACAAGTGGCAGTCTCTTTATTTGAGATAGCTTTTGTTTTTACCCTTTCCAGCTGAAACATCTTGGTTAAAGAAGAAACTGAGACAAGTTCTTGGCTTATAGTCATGATCGAGGGGAAGCTTATCTGATTCTCCATCAAATGGCATCTCTTCGAGGAAGTTTCGCAAGAGAAGTTTGTTGTGAAATCTTACAAGTGGAAGTCTCTTTATTTGAGATAGCTTGTGTTTTTACCCTTTCTAGGTGAAAAATCTTGGTTAAAGAGGAAATTGAGACCAGTTTGTGGCTTATAGTCAGGATCGAGGGGAAGTTTATCCGATTCTCAATCCAATGGCATCTCTTCGAGGAAGTTTCGCAAGAGAAGTTTGTTGTGAAATCTTACAAGTGGAAGTCTCTTTATTTGAGATAGCTTGTGTTTTTACCCTTTCTAGGGGAAACATCTTGGTTAAAGAAGAAACTGAGACCAATTCGTGGCTTTTAGTCAGTATCGAGGGGAAGTTTATCCGGTTCTCCATCAAATGGAATCTCTTCGAGGAAGTTTCGCAAGAGAAGTTTGTTGTGAAATCTTACAAGTGACAGTCTCTTTATTTGAGATAGATTGTGTTTTTACCATTTCCAGGTGAAACATCTTGGTTAAAGAAGAAATTGAGACCAGTTTGTGGCTTATAGTCAAAATCGAGGGGAAGTTTATTCGATTCTCCATCAAATGGAATCTCTTCGAGGAAGTTTCGCAAGAGAAGTTTGTTGTGAAATCTTATAAGTGGCAGTCTATTTATTTGAGATAGCTTGTGTTTTTACCCTTTCCAGGTGAAACATCTTGGTTAAAGAAGAAACTGAGACCAGTTCGTGGCTTATAGTCAAGATTGCGAGGAAGCTTATCTGATTCTCCATCAAATGGCATCTCTTCGAGGAAGTTTCGCAAGAGAAGTTTGTTGTGACATCTTACAAATGACAGTCTCTTTATTTGAGATAGCTTGTGTTTTTACCCTTTCCAGGTGAAACATCTTGGTTAAAGAAGAAACTAAGACCAGTTCGTGGCTTATAGTCAGGATCGAGGGGAAGTTTATATGATTCTCAATCAAAAGGCATCTCTTCGAGGAATTTCACAAAATAAGTTTATTGTGAAATCTTACAAGTGGCAGTCTCTTTATTTGAGATAGCTTTTGTTTTTACCCTTTCCAGGTGAAACATCTTAGTTAAAGAAGAAACTGAGACCAGTTTGTGGCTTATAGTCAGGATCGAGGGGAAGTATATCTGATTCTCCATCAAATGGCATCTCTTCGAGGAAGTTTCGCAAGAGATGTTTGTTGTGAAATCTTACAAGTGGCAGTCTCTTTATTTGAGATAGCTTGTGTTTTTACCCTTTCTAGGTGAAACATCTTGGTTAAAGAAGAAACTGAGACCAGTTCGTGGCTTATAGTCAGGATCTTGGGGAAATTTATCCGATTCTCCATCAAATGGCATCTGTTCGAGGAAATTTCGCAAGAGAAGTTTGTTGTGAAATCTTACAAGTGGTAGTCTCTTTATTTGAGATAGCTTGTGTTTTTACCCTTTCTAGGTGAAACATCTTGGTTAAAGAAGAAACGGAGACCAGTTCGTGGCTTATAGTTAGGATCGAGGGGAAGTTTATTCGATTCTCCATCAAATGGCATCTCTTCGAGGTAGTTTAGCAAGAGAAGTTTGTTGTAAAATCTTAGAAGTGGTAGTCTCTTTATTTCAGATAGCTTGTGTTTTTACTCTTTCCAGGTGAAACATCTTGGTTAAAGAAGAAACTGAGACCAGTTCGTGGCTTATAGTCAGGATCGAGGGGAAGTTTGTCCAATTCTCCATCAAAGGGCATCTCTTCGAGGAAGTTTCTCAAGAGAAGTTTATTGTGAAATCTTACAAGTGGCAGTCTCCTTATTTGAGATAGCTTGTGTTTTTACCCTTTCCCAGTGAAACATCTTGGTTAAAGAAGAAACTGAGACTAGTTCGTGGCTTATAGTCAGGATCGAGGGGAAGTTTATCTGATTCTCTATCAAATGGCATCTCTTCGAGGATGTTTCGCAACAGAAGTTTGTTGTGAAATATTTACAAGTGGTAGTTTATTTATTTGAGATAGCTTATATTTTTACTCGTTCTAGGAAGAACGTCGGGATTTTGGAAAGTTCGTTATTACTCTTTGAGACGTCACCTTAAGTAAAATCTGGTGCATTCTTTTTTTCTCCACCTTCAGTAAACGTCAGTGTATCTTCTGTTTCTTTACCTTCAATAAAAGTTAGTATTGTCCTATATTTTTTTTACTTTCGTTCTTGAGCGTTTAGTTCATTACCATTATTAGGAGAGATTGATCTTTTTCTGGTTAACGATTGTCGATCTCCTGTGTTGATGTTACCCTCTTTTTGATATCTCCTCCATGGGTGGATAGTTCACAGCTATCGATTAATTGTTATCATCTATTACTTTCCCCTCAGTTTTGAAGTTTATGTTATTTTGTCTCCTCTCAGGATCTTACCCCCCAATGAAGCTGAGTTTTCTTTTTCCTAGCAGAGCCTATTTATCTCCAATAGATTCAAATTTCTATCCCCGGAGTTGTGTTGTTCTCCAGAGGTTTATTATCATGGTCGAATTCTTTTGTCAACTTGTAGATTCTACTTTTGCTTCTCCAGTGTGTGTCTTGCCCATCTGCATGAAGTTTATACATTACATCCATAATCATAAGAATCGCATGGTATCTTAGGGCCAAAAATAGGGCTTGTTTTATATTTAAGTATCTTCAATCACTTCGAAACGAAGATTTTAATCTTCGTGTCTTCGGATAGAAGACACTTAAATAATGGCAGTTGTTGTACCCCAATTTTTGCCCCTAAGATCCCTCATCATACTTTGTACATTTCATAGCATTGGTCTCATGGTTATAAGATCGAAATGTTTTGGCATTAGGGTTTCTCTCTCTAAATGGAGTTTGCTATCTTACTCATGGTTGATTCATCTGGCGCTCTTATTTTTCTTGGTATGAGATTAGGGTTTTGGATCCCAAGCAGCATAGATGTCTTCGCTATCAGGGTTCCTCAAGATGCAAATTTTGCTTCATCAAGGTTCTTTCAAGGAACAAAGGTATTAGGGCCTAACTCAGCCAGAGAATTAGGATTTATCTTCATTTTTTTTAGTTTGGTAGTGATTCTTCTATGGAGGTTTGTTGAGTTAAAGTCTCACTTCAAGGCTACATTGAGCGCTAATCTTCCCTTACTCAAAGATTGCTTTGAGTTTTGTCAAGTTTAGATATGTACCGTTGGGTAAGCTATAGGTTAGGAGCTCATTCAGCTCATTTCGTCAAACAGAAGTTGGTCGCTTAAAATGAAAGATGACTTGAATCTGTGAATCTAAGTGAGATTCATGTACATAACTCCATTGGGTTATTTAACATACCGTTCATTCGTTAATCAATAAAATGTGGCATGTGATCAAAGATTTCGAAGGATTAGGGTTTCTTTAAGGCTCTGAGGCTCTTATCTTTATCCAAGAGATTCAAGCTGATTCTTCAACAAGCATGGAAAGATGCATATCAATTAAATTCTTAAACCTTTTTCAGTTGGTTTACTTTGCATTGATCTCGTATTTGACCTCCTCTTTCTCCACATTAGTTAATTCCACTCCTTCAAGATCGTTTCTATTTTCTCTATTAATTTTTCAGTTCCTTTAATTTTATTCATTCAGTTTCAAATATTTGAATCATATCAAGAAAATCTTGAGAGTTTGATCTTTCAATTTTTCAACCAATAAATGGATACTAGTAGTTCCAAGAGAGATTCATCTTCTTCTTCATCTCGATGGCACGATTTTTCCACGAGAATTTCAACATCTTTAGCTTCAGCTTCACTCGAATGGCTATTGATCCTTTTTCTCTTTATTAGCGTTGTTTTCTCTTACGTTATTACTAAATTCACTTCTTACTGTAAACTGAAAGCACCGTGTTTATTCTGTTCAAGAATCGATCATGTGTTAGGTAAAGAGAAAAATGGTTACTATTTGGATTTGATTTGTAGTTATCATAAGTCTGAGATTTATTCTTTAGTTTATTGTTGTAAACATGATTTGCTTGTGAATATTCAAGGTTTTTGTGAAACTTGTATATTGTCTGCTAATGCGAATCCTGAGAGTTCAAAATTATTAGTGGAAGATGAATATGGATCTTTGTTTGATCAGGATCATCCGTTGTTACTCAGTACAAGTGAACGGGGACACTGTTCTTGTTGCAGTGAGAGATTTGTTATGAATTGTTATGAATCAAGGACTAGGTCTAGGGTTGTTGATTTTGATGTCGTGGTTGATGTTGAAATTGAGAAAATAAGTGCGAAATCGGTTGGAGATCACGCGGATCCTTTGTCGCGTGTAGGTTATACTGAACTTAAGATTAGTTCTGATACTGAGTCTCAATATGAAGTTGCTTTGTCAGTTAATAAGCGTGTAAGTGTACCAGTTCATGGAAGAGATCATACTGAGAAAGATGTAAGGGTTCTGTGTCAATATGTGGAGCTTTGCAGTGTTGGTGATTCAAATGAGGATCTGACTTCCGGGAAGCTTGGAACTTTGGCTTCTGTGTTTAAGCCGTTGTTGTCGGAATCAAGAATGCAAGTAGAAAATATACATGTTGATGGTTTCAAAACTGTAGCAGCAGTAGTGGAAAGTGGGAATGGCTTGACAGAACTTAAATGGAAGAAGATTGAAATAAGTGTTGTTTGTCCCTCCCCGAGTGAGGCTACTCCCTTCAATGATGTTCCTACATTATCGAGTAAAATCAGAGTGCTTGTCGAAGTATCAAAGGAAAATGATGATTTTAGAACCGATGAAGAGGGATTAACGTCTAAGAAAGGACCCATAGTGGACAGTGAAGAAAATATTAATTCAGGCAATAAGCTAATAGCATCTGAAGTAGGTATAGAATCAACCCTTGTTTCTAGTGATATTGGTCAACAAAATCTGAATTCACTTGATCTTAGGGATGCTTATAAGCTAGTTGTCGGTAATAGAGGAAGGCAGTTGTCTGGCATGCTTGCAGAACATTGGCTCGGGAAAGATTCATCAAGAGTTAATGAAGATTTGAAGATATTAATGTCACAATTCTCTGCCACTCGAGGGACTGATATGTCTTTTAATGATATCAGTCCTAGGTTGTCTATAAATAGCAAAGAAGCAAAGAGTCATGATGTTTCCAACTTAACTGGAATGCAAATACTTCAAAAAATGATTTCGCTTGAGCAGAATGAGTCTGGTTTGTCTCTGGATGGAAGCATTGTTGGTGAAATTGAAGGTGAAAGTCCGGTTGACAAGCTTAAAAGACCAGTTGATCATGACATGAAACTTATGAATGCTTTGTATAAAAAGCTGGAGGAAGAAAGAAATGCTTTTGCAATTGCTGCAAGTCAAGCTTTATCCATGATCACTAGACTGCAGGAAGAAAAGGCAACATTACATATGGAAGCCTTGCAGCACTTAAGGATGATGGATGAGCAATCAGAATATGAAATGGAAGCTTGGCAAAATGCTAACGACCTTCTTGCTGAAAAGGAGAAAGAGGTAGAAGACTTGGAAGCGAAGGTTGAGTTTTATAGGAACAATTTCCCTAATGAAATGTTGTTGGAGAACACAATGGAGAAAAACTCAAAATGCAGGCAGTTATCGCCATTTTTTGGATACATTATGTGCCAAATATCCATATGTTAACTTCCTCAAGGTGGACATTTATGAAAATGCAACAGTAGCAAATGCTGAGAATGTTAGATTTGTACCAACCTTCAAGATCCCGTCATAAAATAACCCTTTATCGATCCTGCAAAACCACATCACAAAACAATTTTTCAACTGAATTCACAACAGAATCATATAAACATTTTTAACAGGAAAAATTCCTAGCCTCATACCTCTAACCAACTGTTTTAACATCCCTAACTGTCAACAAAACCCAAACCAACCTCTAACTAAAAAAACAGAATCTCAGAACCCTATTTTGTAACAGAGTTTCTAACAGCTTTTCTAACTAACAAAATTTCAAACTACTTGTAACTAACGAACCTCTATATCCCAAATCAATCAAAACTCCACAAAAGAAAAAACTAACCTCATAACAGATTTTTCAGATGAATCTCCACCATTAATTTTTGTAACAAACTGTCTCATCCAAGGGCCCTAGTTCAATCTGATATAACAAAAAAAATTGCAGATTTAACCACCTATATAAAAGAGACTTCACCATTTTTCACATGGGGATATTCTCTCTATTCTTCAGAACTTCCATCTTTCTACACTCTCCTCTCTCTGCAATTCTCCACTCAGCTCCATAACCGCATCTTCTTCATCCACTTCAACAAACCTTCGATCTTCATTCAAGCCTTTCCATCAATCTTCAACAACATCTGATTTTGAAGCTTCAACCATAAGAGCTTCAATCTACATCATCACTTCAACAACCACAACAATTTCTCACCAACAAAAACGCAACAACAACAAGTTTCTGAAGATAGAAAAAGAAGAATAATCGGTATAAGAGGATTTCGTAACAGAAAAGGAGAAAAGCATGGAGATGGTTACCCGGAGACATTTTTGTTTTTATGATTGATTTCGACGCTGTCAAAGACGTGCCAGAAATTCTCCGACAGGTAATCTCAAATATCCGCTTATCTCCACCTTCACGCTTGTTGGTATGGTGATATTAATTGAACGTCTGTGAGCATGAACTTTCTTATCAAATAAATGCATCGCTTTAAGATTTTCATATGTCCTACTTCCGTTTTCTATTGAGTGAGGTAACTGTGACTGAAATGCTGATGAAGATCCTGTGAGACAAAGTGAATCGGAGTCACAGTGACGTTGAGGGGAACAAATCTGTGAATAGAAAGATGAATCCACGACGACAGATCGGTGGTGTTGTGATTAAGTCTCCGGAGAGGGTGCGATTGGTGTTGACTAATATGTCAATGAAACTAAGGCAATATCAGAAGGTGTTTGGCAGCGGTAAGATGAGAGGGAGGGGTTGATCCGATGTGCCGCGTTTGTACTGAGACAAGAGTGAAGAAGATTTCTTCGTGAAGCCTAAAGTCCACAACAAGATAACCCTAAAAGACCCTCACACGACGCCATTTTCACTTCTTTGTTGTCTTTTATTTTTAATTTCTGTAATTCAATAAAAATGATGAATATTAATTGGACTTGGTGATGTTGTATGTTTGGAACTGAAGCATTGGACTCCATTGCACCCCTACTAGGCCTGTATTCCATTTTTTGGAAGCCTAATACTGAAGCTGAACAAAAACAGCCTTCTAGACCTTCATGCTTGGGCCTTAGCGCCAGCTTACTGCATCCTAGCACCCAGACTGCATCATACCCCCTGAAATCAAACTTCCACCCCTCTGACTCTTTTCTAATTTCTTTTTTTTACTTTTCTTTAGTTTAAGTTTCTTCCAATTTTATTAATAAAAGTAGTAAAAAATACATATAATAAAAAATAAATAAATAAAATTTTGGACTTTCTTTTTTTATAATAAAAACTACAAAAATCAATAACAAATTTTAGGCTTTTTATTTTATTTTAGAAAATTAGTTCATAATCTTTCGGTTAATTGAAAATTGCGATTCACCTTTGTTTGTTGAGTTGAGTCTTATGCAGGTTCATTATTTGATTTGCGGATGTGTTTTGGATTCCGATTATGATTTATTTTCATATAGACGAAGTTTCGACACCTATTCCAAATATTCGATCTCTGACTGTTTGTTTGTTGATGCTAGCTCACGTGAAGTATCTCGGATTTCTTTACTTTCATTACGCTTTTTGCGGACGTCATTGTTCGTTTGGTATTTTACTGCTTCCAAGTTTTATTTCTGCATTTATTTCTTTTTCTAGATATCATGAGAAGTAGGAAATAAAGAGCGTGCACTCAAAGTCGTTGTTTAAAGACTTGTAGCAGGCATTTCACACTTCATTTATGTTATGTGTTGTGCTTGTGTTTTCTTTCTCTTGTTAATCGATGAGTCACTCAATTTAGAAATTGAGATCACGACTTCGCTCTCAGTGCATGCTCCCTATAGGATTTTATCGCTTTCCTTTATTTCTCGTTGATCGATGAGTCACTCAATTTAGAAATTGAGATCACGACTTCGCTCTCAATGCATGCTCCCTATAGGATTTTACCACTTTCCTTTATTTCTCATTGATCGATGAGTCACTCAATTTAGAAATTGAGATCACGACTTCGCTCTCAGTGCATGTTCCCAATAGGATAGTTTATTCGAATTTCTTTGGCATGTTAACTTAGATAGGATCCCTCATTGTATGATAATATTAGGTTAGACATAGGTTAGTCTCTCTTAGATGCTTTCTTCCCGTTTTTGCATAATTGCACTTTAAAATAAAACTTCTTTTTTTTCTTGGCAAATGTACAAAGAATACTAAGCATACAAAAATACTTTTCATAATAAAAAATACCCACCAATCCATTTCTTTTCGCCGTTTGTCTTTTCTCTTCTAAGAGCATGTTAGCTCCTTTCCACTACAGGTCGTAAGTCTCCAAAGGTCGAGCAGCGGTGGAATGATCGAATGCAACATTGTTCATTTAAAAAATACAAACAAACAAAATATATGAGCCGAACTACGGTAGCTCTGATTCCTCAAAAAGAATATGTAGGCATTGGGGTAGGGCCCAAGCGAGTACAACTTTATTTTCCCTACATTATTTCTCTTTTCTTTGCATGCATTCTCTCTTAGTTTATAACCCTTAAGCATTAGATTAAACACACCCTTTGATTAGAATAATGAGAGTGGATCCCGTAGAGTACTATGGACGTGTGGGGTGCTAATACCTTCCCCTCGCGTAATCGACTCCCTTACCCAATCTCTCGGTCGCAAGACCTTGATTTCCCCTTTAGGTTTTCTTCGATGATTTTCCTTTCCCTTTCATATGGGATAAATAAATACTTGGTGGCGAATTCATTGAATTTACCGCTACACATTCCAACAGTCTGGGGCACAACATTGATAACTGTTGGACATTGAAAAACAAGATCTAAGATCTGATCAACGAAGGGGCGTTGGAGTTCACACAAGACGGTCAACAGGGGCTTTTTTATCACCCCTCAAGGACATCCATATGAAGTGGCATTCTAGGCGAGGAAATTTTCTGTTTATTCGAATTTTCAGTTGTAATTTTTTTGTTTGCTTAAACACCTATCTTTATGTCAGACTTTGGTTACTCTCATTAATGCATTAAATATGTTTGTCTTGAATTAATCCATTTATTTTCATTCTATTTAAATTATGCTTTTTTCTCCCTTTATAATATTCAATTCTTGTTTCACAAGTTGAAAGCCTTTAGAGGGAGGATGACGAAAACAATGCCATAATCTTATACAGTATGCTTTTGGACAGACCTTGCTAACGATGTACATGTGTTTCTTTCAATTCCTAAACACTGGAGTTATAAGGATGATAATCCCTAGTCAACCCCTTTGAGACAAAGAAGTAGGAGTTTCCTTTTTACACAAACTGGAACCTTTAATCAAAACCTGGGGCAGGGTAGTCTCTCAGTTAATTCAAATGTGCGCTCAGTCGTAAACTTTCACTTCGTGTACAATGAATGACATCAAAAACATTCCTCTGGAATCAAAAGACGGTGATGGTTCCCTACCAAAATAGGCAGTCATTATCTCTCAAAAGACAAAAAAACCATTAAGTCAAAACCTACAAAGGAGACTTAAGAAAAAACGGGGGCATCCCGCTGACCGTAATCTCAAAAATAAGAACAGTCAAGCAAAATCAGGGATAATAAATCAAAAAGAGGTCACTACAAATCCTCAACAACATGGAAAATATGGCCAAAAAAATGACTGCCTTCCAACAAACTTAACTTGTCTGAACCATCACCAAAACGTCATTCCAGACTTGATTGGAGTCCAAATGCACATTTAACTGAGTTTAGGACTGAAGGACGTCACGAAGAACGGGCGGGTACAAATACACTTTGAGCCTTATCCTTTGTTTCTTAAATCGTGAACCAGACCACGATACAACCTTTCAAAGTCATAATTGAAGCTTGGGTTAGTCCGAAAGCATATTGTTACAAAAGGTATCATGACTCCTTTAAGGCTTAATCTAAATCCTGATTTGAATTCACATACTTGCAAAATTCATTTATCTGCTAAAATGAATTTTCAAAACTTCAATACAAGCATAAACTTTGCATTATTTTGAATATTATTGTTTGCATGTGGCTAATTGTTTGACAGCGAAGAAATTCACACGACGAATGTCCAGCGAACAAAAGATCTCTCAGTGAAAAAAATCACTTCAAATGGGATGAAACTTCCAATGACAGATCTCATATAAACAAAGGGGAATGACATGTCATTGTCCAACTCGCCCGGGGGCAGTCAAGTCAAGTTTCCAAGAAATCTCTCGAGAAATGCTGAATAACCAGGGGCAGATTTGCATCCAAGTCACTTGAGGCATTGAGCATGAACTCCAACAAAAGTTTGTGTACAATCAGGCAAACACTTCCTGGCAATACTACAAATATTTTCTACCAGGGGTAGTGACAAATCTCCCAAAAAGTCATTTTCCTAAGGTGGCCCCCAGCCAGAGTTTCAATCTCTGAAAGCATCTCCAACTGAGTTGATTTCAAGAACCCTCGAGGAGTTCTGCCAAAAGAAAGCACCTCTCCAACATATTGGCGACA